TTGGTTCTTTTTAAAGGTAATTCTTGAATATCTATTGGTGTCTTTATAGGTGTTCTTTATCTTTATCTTCGTTCTTTGGGTAAGGGAGTTAGGGAAGGGCAGTGTGTGTTCTTGTGCTAGTTTCTACTTCCTTGGAAGGTATAAGATTGGCATGGTGCTTGGTGTTTCTCTTGGTTTTTTCTTCTCAAGCCATCTTTCGTTTTGTGAAATTTGATGGATTATTTATTCTTTAGGGAGGAGAGTGTCTTGGTGAGAGCTGCTAAGGGTGGAGTCTTTAGTTTCAACTATATAATTGTCTAGCCTCCAAAGAGAAAACAAAAGGAAAAGAAAAAGAGAAAAAAGGGAAATGAGGAAAAATTAGAAAAATGAAAAAAGAAAAAAGGAAAATAAATCATCCATTAGTCATTGTTCAAAGCTTTTAGTCTCTTGTGGGTTTTCTCTTCATGTAGGGTCATGCTGACTTCCTTTCATCCAATGTAACTTAGAGGTTTTTCTTATGGTGTGGCTGAGTGTTATCATGAGTTATAAGAAATGTCGCCTCTCTCTGCTTTGATGACTTTCGATGAGAGGGTTCGCTTGGGTTATGGGAAGATGGGATGAGTGTATAGGAAGGTAGGGGGACTTGTGAGCGGTGGAATGTGGACGTGGGGCTTTTTCTTGGTTGTAAAAGTTGGTAAAAGGGCTGACGAGAAAAGAGACTGGCTTCTTTAAGGCAAAAAAGAAGTGGTCATATGTTCTTAGGATTATGAGCAGTGTGCTGATGGAACAAAGAAGGTTCATGAAGCTTGAGGTCCTCTTCCCTTGGAGAAAGGTTGCTTTGTTCCATGTTGTTGAGTTTCTTTGGAGATTATCTTTTTTGTGACACAACAACTTCTTTGCCTCACTTTTCTTAGTGTTATGTTTTTTGTGCCACGACTTAGGTCACCAATGCTTGTTTAAGGAGGGTTCTTCTCCAAAGGATTCTTTGAGGGAAAAAAGAGTTAAGGAGGCTTTGTCGGTATAAGGGTTGAAGGGAAAAGGTGTTGCTTCTTTAAGGCAAGAGGGTGGTGGTCATATGTTCATAGGATTGTGAGTGGTGTGCTGATGGAACAAGGAGGGCTCATGGAGCTTGAGGTCCGCTTTCCTTGGAGAAAGGTTGCTTTGTTCCATGTTGTTTTCTCTAGAGATTGTCTTTTTGGTGACACAGTAACTTTTTTGCCTCTCTTTTCTTAATGTTATGTTTTTTGTGCCACGACTTGGGTCACCAATGCTTGTTTAAGGAGGGGTTTTTCTCCAAAAGGATTCTTTGAGGAAAAAAAGAGTTAAGGAGGCTTTATTGCTCCTAGTTTCTGTTCTTGCACTCCAAAGACACTTCTTGATTTTTTTAGCATCTAGATTTTTTTCTTGGTGCCTAGTTTTGGAAGGGTTCACTCTGTTTTGGCTTTAGGTCTACTAAGGAGCAGCAACCTTGGTTTTTTGTGGCTTGCTTTTGTTTAGCTTTTGTGTTGATGGTTTCAGCCTAATTTTTCTATTTGTCTAAGGGTTATTTTTGTGAGTAGGTGCTGCAAAATCTTTTTGAGCAGCTACGATGTATTCTGTAATGTATAATTCATACTCTTTTAAGATGTGCCTACGTGGAAACGAGTTTTTTACCACTGAAGTTTAAGAGTCTTTATGGCATTCCAAGCTTTCTCTAAATAAAATACCAATTTAAAAAAAAATATATAAAGTATCCACAAAAGACAATCTCAATTTTTTGTGAAGAACTTTATTGTTTATATATCTATATTAGATTTTTAAATAAACTCAACATTAAAGGCATTATTCATCTGTTTTTATGTTTTACTATAATTTGAAGTCCAACATAAACATAGGTTTGCTTGTTTATTGAAAAGCAGTTGCTATATTTTTACCTTGAAATTTTTTTATATATCACCGCAATCTGTAAAACTTATCAAGATTTATAATATTAAATTGATTACATATATTCTCAAATTGTTGATAAAGTTTGAAAAAAATCTGAATACATGTGTATTTTGAGATTACATTCATTTAAAGTCTTGGGCTTTTCTTTTTTGCATTCAAATCACCATGTGATATGTAGATACATACAGTAGTAATTATCAAAACACTTGACACTTTATATAATTTTTAATATATTAAAATCTACAGAAAGCCCAATCTTGTTTCTAACATTTTCATTTAAAAAGAGAAGATAAAAAGGAAAATAGAGATAGGATATAGAGTTTTTCCATTTTGGGATTAGTAAAAATATTAACGTGTCACTTGATCATTTAGTTTATTGATTAGTGTATGATTTTTTTATTTAAAAAGTAAGATTCGAATCCTTTGCTTTTAAGTCTAAAAAAAATATTAACATGAGTTATTATAAGATCCTATTGTGTGTGATTTTGTCATTATAAAAATTTGCTATACTTGATTAAGAATGAGGAGGATTGGACCAAAGAATCTCGTAGCCCGACATTGTTAAACGGCCCAACGCTCTTGGCAAGACTGTTTATCTGTTGGTTAAGGCCAGGAGGAAAGACTGGAATTTGGGACCTTCAATCCCTCGGGCTCCACCTTCCATTCAAAAAGTTAGTTCTTGGTGTATTCTTCACCAGAGGTTTGCATGCAAGTGAAGTTATTTGATTTTAATTTTCCACTACATTTGAGAGCTTAATGCTTTCGAAGCTCCAGGCTCACCTCCCCCTAACCTTAAACTTTTGTAAAGTTAATTTTCAGTCAAATACTGAGGCAGCTGATTCTAGTTTAGCTCACACTTGTTGCACTTGGTGCTCCCCACATGACTCACGTTAATTCTTAATGAATAAGCTGAAGACATTCTTGATGCTAGAGCTTGCACGCTAAGGGAAATGAGCAAAACAAAGCTTATAAGTTAATAAATACGAAAATGTTTTTTGGGATGGAAATAGTTGAAAAATAAATTTAAATAATCCCCATTTGTGCATATTTCCATTTTTTTTTTTTAGAAACAGTCAATTAAGTGATAATGAAATATATCTATATCCTAGAGAAAGGATCGAAATTGCCGTGCAGCGTTGCAGGGAAGCTTTACATGACATTCCTTCCAAATAATAAACAATGAGTTAATAGAATATTAAAAGAAAATGCGTAGCCAGAGGCATTGGCAAGGAGCACGCCGAGAGCGCTAAGGGATGTTTCCTTCACGCTCTGGAAAAAGATTAAATTAGACCCAGCATCATCACTTTAGCGTGCAGGGGAATGAATTGGGAAACTCGTAATCAGGCAGAGACATTAGCTCATTCTTCTAATTTTTCAAATATAATAGTAAGTAAAACAAGAAGAACCCTTTGTTTTTCTCCTCTAAAAATACCAAGGAAATCAAAGTACGAGTGTACAACTGCCTTGAAAAATTAAAATTTTGTTGGATAATTGTCTTGAAAATTTGAAGTTTGATTCTACAGTAATATGTGTAGAAATACAAAAGAGTGATAAATCCCAAGAACCACAGCTGGGTTTGCCAGACAAGAAGGGAATATTTGTGCAGTGCAGGGCTGCAGAGAGAGAAAAGGGGTGGCTAAGGCTAATGGCAAATGGTGTCAGGGACTGAGGCGAGTTCAGAAGAGATTCCACATCAGGAAAAATCCTATCGATAATGGGCCTCTACTAGTGGTATTCAAACACAGCACCGGCCAGCCAGCGCACGGCCCCATCCAAATTCCATCATCCCATCTCGTGAAGTTATTCTATATCAGTACTAGTACAGTCTACAATTTGCAAATGTAAAAACTACTAATGCTAGACGTTTAGTAATTAAATCAGTCGCCTGCCCGTCTGTCTCTCTCTCTCTCCCAACCGGCAGGGGCGGCTACCCCAATACATTCGCCCTGTCGACTCTTACTTACATGCTCGTCCGTTTCTCCTTGTCCATTTATGTAACTCTTGCCCTTTCGAAACATTCCTTCACTTGTGCGTCTTGCCTTGCATTTTTGTACATTTTACTTGTGTCTATGATTGAGATGATAGTTAAACTTTCACTTCTCCCCTCTCGATGGCTTGACTTTGTTTTCTACGTTGTTTCAATCTTATAGTATAAGATTGGGGATCATAAAGTAACTTTATGAAAATTTCCTTGTTAAAGAATGATGTTTTTATGGAGCAAAAATAAAATAAAAATAAAAACCAAGTGCCCATTATTTGACTCACCAGTAAAAAAGAAGAATGAGTCAAGTCAGGCAATTGGCATCCTTAGCACTTAGCAGTGCATCAAAGAAATTACCGCGAGTTTGCCCATGTATTCATGTTCCATACAACCAATGTTGTGTAAAAGCAAATTATTTCATAAAAAATATATATCATATTCGAAGGTACAAAAAAAGAAAAAGAAGTTGAAAACAACCAAATCAGGCGAAGTTGGCTAAATTTACAACCTTTTCTTTTCGTACGCATGAAAATGGCTATGGTGGAGAATGAAATATTTTTAAATTTGAGGGGATTATTATATATATTTACTTATACATTATGCCGTGTGCTCCAATCCTAACCACAGGGTGACATGTATAATGGCTCGAAAAGCCGTGTGACAAGAACATAATGGCCGCCTAGGCCAGCTTTTGCAAATTGGCCATTTGACTTTGAATAAAATCTGTTTAAATGGTTTGACTTTGGGTGAATGTTATATAAGTATAAGAAAAATGTCATTAATGTTTGAATATTATGAAATTGGAAAAAGGTTGTCAACTTTATCTGAACCTGGAAAAATGGCATTTAGAAAGGTCACAGACGCATTTAGAAAATAAATTCCCTTACTTTTGTCAAAGAAATTTATCCTAAAATGGGTTTGGCTATTTCACCGATTGTAAACAAAACGGGTCTGGAGCTCGAGTGTTTTCTCCACAGCAAAAAGAGACCATGCGCGTCCAGCAAAGCGAGTGAGGAACAGAAGAATTCCACTGACCGGTTTCTCTTTTTTCCTATTCAAAAACCACAAACTGCTGAAGAAAGTTCCAGCATTCTTTTTGGTAACATCATTTTTAACTTATAGATCTCTTCTTTCTAAAAAGAAAAAAAAAAGAAAAATCTTGCTTTCCGAAGTTTTTAACTCTACCAAAGATTTCCCCAACCCTAAACCTTGGTCACTTTTTTCAGTGATCTTATTCTCAGAGAGTGGGGGAGAGGGAAACCTTTCTTTTGCGCCACGCGCCTCCACTGCGTCTGTGACCTTTCTAAATGCCCTATGCACAGATGTGAGACAAAATGCAACCCACAGTGGCTCTCTGGTGTTGACAGATGTGGGCCCGCCCAGGGCTTATTTCCTATTTTCCCACGCGCACTCACTGCGAGCGTGCGGCTTTGCGTTTCTACCCACCCAAGAAAGATTTCTTATTAGCATTTCTCAAACACACCCTTCCTTCTCGCCCCCCCACACCCTTTTTTTATGGTCTCCATTTTATTCCCTTCAAAAGCCCTCCTCTCCTAATCTAATTTCTCTCTTTTTCCTCTTCCGTCTGTGGATTTTTCGTCTTCACTTCTTTACTGGGTTGTCTTCTTTCCTTTATTCTTGGTGGGATTTTGCGTTTGTAATGACAGCACCAAACATGGAAACGATCACAGCATCTTTGGAAAGGTCTTTACAGAACTGTTCTTTGAACCATGAAAGAAGAAGCAGCAGAAGCGGAGGTGGCGGTGAACGAGGAATAGTAAGGCGGTCTTCGACATCGGATGATAACAACCTTCCAACCACCGTTTCTGACGCTAGCTTGGAGCTCAACTCCCATCTCTCGCTTCCTTACCATTGGGAACAATGCCTTGATCTAAAGGTTCGTTCTTTATTTGTTTTCTTTTTGTTAGGATTTGTTTTTTGGTTGTTTTGTTTATCTCTCTTCTTTCTGTCTTTTGAAATGGTTACAACAGTTTTTAGTCCCTTTCGTGTTTCAGACGCAATTAATGCGAAACCCATGGCAGATCTTGCTCTTTCCTTTGTTATGTATTTTTGGTTTTTGTTCTTTAATGGGTTTTTCTTCACTGTTGTATTTATTGCTTCCCTGGTGGTCTCCCTTTCTCCCACACACATGCTAAGAGTAGGGTTTCAGACCACAACCCTAAAAAAAAAAGAAGAATAACCTTTCTCCCTTCTTTTCTTTTCCCATTTCTTGCGGCTCTTGGGTTGTTTATTCCTTCTTTGTGGGGTTTAGAATTATAAAAGAACGGGAACACCTTGTAACACTTGAAACCCAGATAAATTCCATTCATTTTGGATCAACAAAATCTGAAATTTTGTTTTCTGAAAGGGATGAATGGTATTAAATCAGAAAGGTAAAGGAGTTGAGGACATAACGGTTAAGGGATTGACTGTAAAAGTTCATTTATGTTTTTGTCCTAAACCAAAATGGAAAGAAGTAAAAGACTCATCTTTTATGTTGGCTTGATTCATGTGATAGCAATATATCTAGTGCAGTCCAATATAGGTTTGCAACTAAGGTTTTCTCATTCCAAAGCGTGAAAGATTTTTGTACTTTGTTTTGGTTTATTGATGTTACAGCGTTACTTTTTGATGGGAGTTCGTTTTTTTTTTTTTTGGTACACGGCAGACAGGGGAGATTTACTACATAAACTGGAGGAACGGAATGAAAGCAAAGGAAGATCCAAGGACAGCAGCTGAGTACAGCGGAGATTTCTACTCAGAAGAAGAGGAAGAAGAAGACGATGATGATAGCTCCTATGACAGTGAGGAGTCATCATCGGAGTCATCTCCTTCTTCAAGAGAGAGAGCGCATTACAACAACAACAACAACCATCATCGGGTAGAGAAAGACAAAGACAATGTCTTGGTTGTGGCTGGTTGCAAGAGCTGTCTTATGTATTTCATGGTCCCCAAGCAAGTTGAAGATTGCCCCAAATGTAATGGTCAACTTCTTCACTTTGATCGATCAGGAAGTAGCTCTCCATGAACCAGATTTGTCTTTTTCTTTCCTCTCTCTTTCTTCTTTTCTCTCTTTTTCCAATCTTCTTAACTAGCTCTTCTTTTTCAATTGCTTCTCTTTTTTCTTTTAATGATCCAGTCTTTTTTGGGTTTGAAAGATTTTGAGTGTGGAATGGTGACATATTAGACAAATGAATGATTAGTCCAAGCTGTGATTCTTCCACATCTTTTCTCTTTTTTTTCCATTTTCTTTTCTCCCTTTGTGTTTTGCGTTTGTTTTGTGCGCCATTGAAGTCCCCAGCCAGAGATGAGTCCTATGCTGCCCGTGGCTGTGGCTAGGTCAATGGTAAACGAACGAATAATATTGGTGAAGACTACGACGTGTAGCTTTTATTCTCCTTGGTTTCACTTTCTATGTTTCTTTTCTAGACATTCTTTAATTGAAATATCCTAAGCCAAACTAATCTCTGTGTATCATCATAAATGTATCAACCTAGGAGTGCAGTTCATGGAATTTATGGCAGATGTGCCTTATTCTTTTTATCCCTCCAATTTTCCGCCTTTCTTGAGCAGGTTACTTTTGAAAGTTCACTCTAGTCGTATTGATTACTCATTTGCTTTAGTCTATTGTTTATTGTTTCGTTTTTTATGTTCAATGTTGTCACCTAACTTGGAAGGAAAGTTTTGCTTATCCATTGACTTACTCTGCTAATCACTTATGGTTATTTTACCACTCCATACACCTTCATCAATCTTATCTAAATTGGACCAACTGTACTAGTTTCTTTACGAAAATCAAATCAACATTCTGTTCGTTATCATTTTCATCAATCATTAATCTTTATTTAGTACTGCATTAAATGTCGAATCTGTGCAATATTTTCATTAATCTTAAGCTAGAGCTCTTAACAAGATAAATAGGGCTTGAAATTTTTTACAGCAATTTTTTATGACCGGCGTTAATTAATTAACTGTCAAGCAGTAATTATTCTCGTAACCTTTTCAAAAGTCAAACCCATCATGAGCCTATGGACAGTCTGGACACTACATAAATATAACAGTTTCTCTTCAAGCAATGATTATTACCAACATATTGTCTACCCCTTTCGTTTAAAGTCTCTCTCTCTCTCTCTCTCTTTCCCTCCCTCTTTCTAAAAGAGCAAAAACAAAATTCCATCTCAAAGTCTAATCTCGTTTTGGTTCTTTGTTTTCTAGCGAATTCTTTTTTCAAACGGAAAGCTAGGATGAGCGTATGCTACAGTTGGGAAAGTATGACGTAGTTTGTTTCTTTTATATTTAACAATTCAAATCATTAAACGGAATACAAAGTGTTAATGTTAACAACAATTAATATGAGGAAAAAGAATAAAATTGAATGCGCATTTGACAATAATAATATTAGCTAAGGCATTCTAGATTCCAAGCACTTTCAAAGATTATCATTTACAAAATACAATGTTTCCCGCCGCGTAAGTAGGGGTTTTAGTTTAACCATAACACTAGTACGCGACGTAAGTGGATTCCATATGTCACTCAGTCTTTGGTTTACTTTTAATTAATTTTATCATGATTAGGCAACTCACGGGGCCTGCATTAAATAGTTTCTTGTTGTGTACTGATCAACTGCCTCACTCTCAAGATTATTTTTTAAATATACATAAATTTTTCTATTGATTCACCCATCAAATACATACTAATAGTCTCACGCCCATTCATAGGTGAAATTCGTTTATTGGATTATGTATTCGAAAATTCAGATAACATTAACAGGTGTTTTATTAATTTTTCTTGGGACAAGTTTGAGATAATTAATTTGAATGAAACACACATTTGGATTTATTTAGAATTATAACAACACGCTTTTAACAATTCGATAACAAATAAGTTATTAATTTATTTAGTGATTTTATTTTAAATTAACTCTCTATATATTATTGATAATTACAGTAAATTTAACCAATTTATTAGTTTGACTTTGCGTTTTAGTTTTAATGAATTGGGGTGGGTCAATTATTTTGCTTCTCACAAATTTCCATTCTTTCTTTCTTTTGACCCATTGTTGTCTAACACTCTCTTAACTTGAATTCTTCGGAAACACAGCCAAAGACACAAAGAAAAGGAAAAACAGTGAACAAACGAATCCATTGTTTAATACTCTGAATGAAGGTGAGTGGAAAATATGCTAGTACGAGTATATCTGCACAGTCCAGTGGGCAAAACAACACACACACACAAACGAGAGTCTTAGGTTTTGCCTAGCTAGCTATTTAACAATATTGTAAAGAAATTAAGAAAGAAAGGACTACTACAGTCTATATGTATACTATTAAGTAATGTAGTGAATGTGCAATGTGTAGTGTGAAGAGAGAAGAGAGAAGAGGGAAATTGGTTCTGTCAGAGAATAAGTTGCTTTTTCGACGTTGAAGACGATAAGCAGTGGGGTCCGAAGTGCCCCAACTCTCGGACACGTCGTATGGTAGACTCAGTTGTCTACATTAATAGACTGGATGGTTATGTAGGCACAGAATCCTCAAGCCTTGCTCCTGAACGGAATCCAAACTTCTGAAACAAAGTATGTAAGGAATGGAAATTTATAAGCAACTTAAATAAATATTTTTAAACTGAGATGTAAATTTTTAATAAAAAGATTTATAAATAAGGATAAATCATTGGGTCAATCTAGTCTTCTTTCCTTGGCAGCCAATTCACGTTTAGGTTCTTAAGTAAGTAAAAAGCTTGCTGAGATGATCACGTGCAGCCTTTGTAACTTGCAGTTATAACTGGAAAAAATGTTTTTTCCCAATGCCAACTTTGAAGGATACGGTCGATTCGTTTGTATTCTGCCTTTACTGCCTGGTAAAAACGTGACCATTGACATTTGACATCCACAAATTCACGTCCAAAAGGTAATACTATTAATTTAAAAAAACAAAGAAAATTGACAATAGAAGGAAGAAATCAAGAAACAGTAACATAATGGAACAGAAACAGGAATATTTTGAGCAGCTTTATTTTTTGCCTCAGTTGTTTTTGTTTGTGGGCTGAGGAAGGGACAAAGTGTTTCTGGTAAGTGGTGGTTGCAGAAAGACCATGATTCAACTATTATTATGATATATGCTACCAAAATTTCTAGTTCCCGCAACGTTTTCACATCCTAGAATCCTTCTTACATTTGGACGTGAAACCGTGAAAATCTCTAAATGGATAATTCAGGGTCCCATATACAAACAAGTGAAAACGAAATGGAGAAAGGTTGAACACAGCAATGGGAGCTGGGAAAAGCTCGAAATACTATATAGTAAAACTATAATGTTTTTTCTTTTAACTTTAAAAGAAAAAAACAGAGTGATTGAGTAAATGTAAAAGGGGTTTGTGACATAGTCGAGTTGTTTGGTCTGATTAGGTGAGGCCCTCCGTCCTAAAAGATTCGAAAATTTGAGAGAGAGAGAGAGATGCTTTTTATGGTACAAAGAAGACGATGGTCCATGAGGGGGTAGCGCATAGCTGGAATGTGGACTGTAGAGGAAACAAAGGAACCTTTTCTTTTACTTTGGCTTGGCAGAAGGGAATCTAAGCAGTGAGGAAGGGCTAAAGCCTAAAGGAGGTGCAGTGCTCCATCGAAAGAGATAGATGGAGATAGGAGAGGCTGATAGAGAGTAATAAGACGATGTAGCAGTCAGTGAGAGATTATTATTATATTATATATTGAATTGGAACTCTGGTCTCGTTCTCTGTGTTTATCTCTCTCCATCACTTGTTTTTTTCCCCTTATCTTACTACAGTACTAGTATAATTTTCTCTCTCTCTTTTCTCTCTTTTTTTTTTATTTCTTTGCCTACGATACGACTCTCTCTCGATTAGTTGGTCAAAGACAAAGAGACTGATACTGGGAACTGGGGAAGATAAGGACCCGCATCCGCTATTCACCTATTATCCCTTTATGATTCAAATGGTTGTTTCTGGGTAGGGAATCTGGGTTTGTCTGTTTCACTATCCTTGTTCTCGTGTCTTTCTCTATACCTCTATGTATTCATTAAGTCATCAGCCCTATAAACTATATTCCTCATCTTTAAAACAACACCCCTTTGCCTTGTTCTTTCATGGACTAAACTTTTCTACTGTTTACGTACTATATGGGACAGCAAGCGATGGCATTGCTTTAGAGTGTCACTATAGTTTTCACATATTTTAAAATGAGTTAACTACGCATTTGACACTTCAAACAACACAATATATCCATATAGAACCATAATCTAAGCTCCTAAAGCAAATTTCATGTGTGTCAGGGAAATTTTTAGTGTAGCTGACAACAGATACTGCCAACTTTAACTTATTACTATTAAGAAAAAACATGAAAAATGGAAAATAGAGCATCCTAATTTTCTAGAGAATGTCGAATAATTAAATGGCCAACAAAAAACCTTTCTCCTAATTAATTCCCAATTCGGAAATATCCCAATTTCCGCTGCATACACTTTCTCCATCTAGTTTTTTTTTTCTCAATTGTTATTTATCGTTTTTTGTTCTGTTGAACATTTTTACTTTCCCATATTGGGAAGAAAACCACAAAATTGAAGTGGCTATTGGACAGCAACTTTTGTCTAGATGCACTGTAAAAATCAGAAAAGCAATGAACCTCCAACATAAAAAAAAAAAAGATTATGATTTATGGCTACAGGGATTGGGTAAAATGACTATAAGATAAATATTTATCATCATATGCAAAATTACTTTCTACTAAATCTAACATAGAAATTGGTTGCAAACTTTCTAAAAATCTGGGATTGCATAGTGCAATCATATCAAAGTCTTCTAAATATTTCAACAAGATAAAAGCAATAAAACCATTCCTACCAAAAGGGTACATGGAAGGAAAGGAATTTAATGAAAGAGATCGAGTGTTGGGAAGATGAAATTCAATGTGGACGAGGTTGCAAAAGGTAATCTAGCTGAAGCAGACTTAGGGAGAGTCCTGTGTGATGATAATCGATGAGCCAGAGTTATTTTCTCAAAGTCAATAGGGATTGAAGACTCAGCATGGCAGAATTTCAAGCCATTACAGAGGCCTTCCTTAACTTCGTGGCTTCTAGGTGGGAAAATTCTCATGTGCTCGTCGTTGAAAGCGATTCCATGAATGAAGTGAAATGGTGCAGTCATTTTGAGATGACTCCCTGGCGAATGAGAAAGATTATTCTTTATATTGGGAAACTTAAAAGTCACCTTGCTAAATGGGAGATTCATCATATTCTTAGGGAAGCAAACCATACCGTTGACAACTTAGCAAAGGACAGGGTGGCGAGAGAATAGAGTCTTTTAAGTGTTGTTGCATGAAGTACGTGTACTATGGTGGAGAGGAACGCCATGGTGCCAGCTACTACGTCAAGTTTGTCCATGCCTTTTTCTTTGAGAAAACTTTACACTGCTGTCTTGTGACTATCTAGTTGTATTCCTTAGTTTATTGCTT